TCCTTTAGAAAGACAGATGGGTTTTGCAATGTATGACAGGAGTCTACTGAGCGCATCTGAAAGACTCTATCTAGCAGTGTTTTCAAAGCAGATACAAAGACTCATGACCAAACCTTTGGCAGAGTAGAGGGAATTATATCAAAGAGGGGATGTTAGTATGATGGTGAAAGGATAGGAAGCTACACAATTACCAAATATATCTGGGCATAGGGTCTTCTCAGAGACTGTCATTCAACCAAGGACCATGTATTGATATAACCTAGAACCTCTGCTCAGATGCAGCCTGTGGTAGCTCAGTAACCAATTGGTTTCCCATAGTGAGGGCAATAAGGACTATTTCTAACAGGAACTCAATGACTGGCTCTTTGGCCTCCCTACCCCCCAAGGGAGGAGCAGTCCTGTTAGGCCACAGAGGAGGGCTTTGCAGCCAGTCCTGAAGATACCTGATAAAACAGGATCGGATGAATGGGCAGGAGGTCCCCCCCATCAGTGGACTTGGAAAGGGGCATGGTGGAGATGAGGGAGGGAGGGTGGGATTGGGAGGGAATGAGAGAGTGGGACACGGCTGGGATCCAGAGTTAATGAAATGTAAATGATAAGAAAAAATAAAATAAAATTAAAATAAATTATGTTCACGTAAAAAACAAAGAAAGAATTTGTCAACAAGAAAAACTTATTGCTGTGATAGGTTTTGTTTTAATAGATTTAAAATACTTGTTATTATGGTTCTAATATTCTTTGAAAAGTAGTCTTCAGGTTAGAATTAATTTTTGTAGGAAAAAATGGTAATTTTGATCTGACAAAACCTATATTTTGTATTTCTGAAAAGAGCTTTACATGGCCAGATTTCATAAAATCACCATATGTATCTGTGTATATACATGTATTTATACATATACATATATAATTTATATGTAGGTATATGAATATATTATATATTGGTATTCATATACATACATTTAAAACAAAGTATTAAGCCATTGACTACTGAAGAAAACATTCTTTAGTATAAAAGTGCATTCTAACATTTGGATATTTTATTCATACTTTTTAGTACACTAAGTCTAGTATCAACTACTCAATTTTACAATTCTATTGATTCTATCTTGTACTTTAGGCAAGCTAAATCTGAGTGCTGAGCTATTTAAACATAATGCATTACAGCTCTGCCAGAGCAGAGCAGAACTAGCATGTTTTTTAATCTGGTTCTGGTATCCAAAGGTAGAAACACGTTTCGAACGATAAGTGAAATTTGCCATGAGAATCATTTTCAATAGAATTAGATGATGCATAGGGCTTTTACTCTGAAATTCTGATGAATCTCTTCTCATTTTTTCACTCAAGTCATTGTTCCCAATAAGAAACTTTAGGAAGTGCAAGGCATTCAGTGTTGTTTTTCAAATACCTAAAGGCAACTTTACCAGCAAATCTGTATAACTATATCTTAGTACAAAGTAGAGATAATATATGACTAATCATGTGGTGTTTTAGTGATGGGATTTGTTAGTATCTCTGGCTTATTTGTTGGTGTTGTTTGAGTAAGTGAGACAAACTATAATGAAGATTATATGATGTTCTCATTCCTTGACCTTTGGATAATTACTTATTATCTATGTATAACATATTTTAATTTTAAATCATACTCTGTTCTTTTCATCTGATGAAAACTATGTCGACTTTCAAATCTCATGTTCATTTTCATATAAAGATGAAAGAATATTTGGCTGAGGCTGAAGCTTAGCAGTAAGTGCACCTGCCTAACATATTAAAGCTTTAGATTTCATCTCTAGCACTGGAGAAAGAGTGGCAGCTAGAGACATATGGAGAAAGGAAAGTGGCTAGCTAGGAGCTTATTTTAACTGCTTTGTTCAAATGATAGAAATGGAGTATTTCTTTTAAGACATCAAATTTTTCCCTTTTTAAGTAGTTGCAACATTAGTTCTACTGTTTAGATGGCTCTTATTTGACTCATTCATTATTCTTGTTAGGTCTTCTTTCATAAGGCTTCCAAGATTAGAGATTTTTGTGTGCTTTTGTTTTTTTTTGTCTATTATTATTTTATGAGTGAAATATTTTGATGGAGGCTGACAAGCATGTTTTGAAGTTTTCTCACCTTGGAGAGACATTAATTAGTACTGTTTTTTATCATTAAAATAATGAAAATTGTGTATATAATTCACTGAATAACAATATTCAGTACAAAACAATGCTTTTACCTGTTCATCATCATGACAGTCAGTTTTGCACTAATTATCACTGATTTTGTGGTTGTTGGACTGTATGGAGTTTAGGGTCCTGCCCTGCTGTCTGGCTTTCAGTAGGTGATAAATATGCTTAGCCTGACTTTTACATTTCTTTTTTTTTTTTCATTATATTGATATACTCAGTAAAGATGTTTCCTCATTTAATGCCAATATGATAGTTACCTATCATGTTATATAAAGGCTTCGTAGGTAATCAGTGTTCTCATCTGTAAGTAAAACCGATTTTAAAGTGGAAGAATGTTCCATAGTCACATGTAAGATATGGGGGGACTATAGTTAAATTTTAGTGTAAATTTTGTTTTCTCCTTTAACTGCATTTGTTGTTTTATATGGAATGTAAACAATGAAAAAGTGAGCTCAGTGGCAAATAGCCATCATGTTCCTGGGAAACACTGTTAAAAGATGATGAAGCAACACACAAATTTATGTCAGAACTTGTTTCTGAGACTAACAAGTCTAGTTTTGCATCATTAATTTTGTTACAGTTACTATCAGATAAGAGGATATTAAGGTAACCACAAGTTGATGTTGTAAAACTACTGTTTGGTCTTCTCCACACACTTAATGTATTAATATACATTATTCAATAATAGACACTTGTGTGAATACTAAAGGAATAGTAGATTAAGTAACTCAGTGATGAGTGAACTTTAAATAGGTATGTGGAGAACCTTGTTTGCATTCATTACTCTGGGAGCCAAATGCATGTTATTATAGGAGGTGTGGTGCTAGACCTGACCTAAGGGAGTTGGCATGTGTGGATTATTTAGTTACAAATAACAAAGAAGATTTTATAGTTTCAAAGTGCTATTGCAGAAATCAAAAACAGGCTGTGATAGTATTGCTAAAGCTAACCCCCTGATTCATAATACAACAAGAGGCGCACTGTGCTCCTGGTGTTTTAGAGACAATCTTGCAGTACACCTAAGCAAATGTAGACATTCTGAGGAAATGTTTTTCACAAGAATCTTAATGTTAATGAGGCAAATGTGTTTGTTCTTATACAATATAAGGAAAGCAGTTTATTTCCAGTTTTAATCCTGACTTTTGAAATTGAGATTTCAGAACATGTCCAATTACAATTTTGAGAACATGTGAGGCATTGAGTGGTATGGTTGTTAAAAAAATGTAATAGTACGTAATATAAAATGGTTAGATCAACTATTTCCATAGATTTGTGGACTTAACCAATATAAGAAGTAATTAAAAGTTGTAGAATACATGTCAGTATGTATGTATGCATTTATTGTTACTATATTTTGCCATCATCAGATATTTTTTCCTTGATCCTTTCCTTTTTTTTATTTTTTATTAATTACACTTTATTCATTTTGTATCCCCCCATAAGCCCCTTCCTCCTCCCCTCCCGATCCCACCCTCCCTCCCCTTTCTGCATGCATGCCACTCCCCAAGTCCACTGATAGAGGAGGTTCTCCTCTCCTTTCTGATCTTAGTCTATCAGTTCTCATCAAAAGTGGCTGCATTGTCCTCTTCTGTGGCCTGGTAAAGCTGCTCCCCCTCAGGGGGAGGTGATCAACGAGCAGGCCAATCAGATTATGTCAGAGGCAGTCCTTCTTCCCATTACTATGTAACCCACTTGGACACTGAACTGCCATGGGCTACATAATTGTCTAATGGGCTGCCATTGTCTAAATAATTGTTGCTTGTAAACAGTGTGTTGAATGAATTTTTAAGAAACTTGCTTCTCTTTTTGGAGACCTGGATTCTTCTGTAATCATTTAATTGAAAGCTGCCATAATCTTTTTATATCTTATGATATCTTCCTTAGCCTAGTGGGCATTCAGTTAAATTTTGATGTTTGTTTGAAAAGCACTAGCTGAAAAATAAAACACATCTTGACAATTGTTATCAGATGAATGGTGTTCAATGGTGAATTAGCTCTTTTTGGTACCCTGCTTGATACTCATTTGTGGGAATCGGATAACAGTGGTTTGACTTACATTTGGATTTTGGCATAGATTATGTTTATGTTGAGATTTTTAAACAGAATCCTGCCTCTCAGAAATTGTCTTATCTCTGGAAATTTCTGAACTCTTTCTTTGGTATTAATATATGCATTTTTATAGTGCATTGTTTGTTCTCACATAATATACAAAACTGATTTCATACTTGGAACACATGATTTAAAAAAGGATAACAATGAATTTGTCTTATAATTTAAAAATTTAAGTTAAAACAATGTTGTACATTTTAAATTTATAGCAATATAAAATGTTACAGCTTTAAATGAAAGTTTACCTCTGAACATGATACATGACTTTAAATGCAACATTTGTATTTTAAAATAACTTTCTCCAACTGTATGCTTACCCTAGCTAGGAAAGAAAACAAAAGCAATATTTGGAAAAAATTTCTTCTGATAATTTCTTTGAGGGCCTGTCTACAGGAAAAATTTCTAAGTGTATATTACAGTTACATTTAATATTTAGTTTGTAGTACATGAAAATTCTATTAGAATGTAGATTTAAAAATATCCAAATCACAATTATTGTTTCTCTCTATTCTTTAGAATATAGATTTTGAAATGTGGCACCCATTAATATTGGTATTTTGTTTTAACATCAAGATCTGAATCATTAAATGTCTTAATAGAGTAGGCCAGTCACTAATTTATTAAGCACATAACTTCTCTGAACACTTCTGATTACTAACATTATTGCTGTTTTTTTTTTTTTTTTCACACCATAACCATTCTCTGTTGACAACTTCATGCAGATAGTTGGAAGTAAAGTTACGGTAAGTACAAAAGATATGTTTTACCCTTAACACTATAGTTGTGTTTTGTGGATTTGTAATTTTTGCATGCAATATTTAAGGTTTGGTTTTTCATTTACTGTATATTCTTCAGAGTGTTAAGATGAATATTGAGATCAAGTGATTAAAATTTTGCCATGTTAAGTAGTTTCTTACAGTTTTGTAGTATGGTGTATAACTAGAATATGTCCAGGTTTTCTTAGAAGTTTATTTTTTTATCTTCACCCCATCCTTTGGTAATTACACCTGTGTCAATTTAGATAACTCAGATGAAATTGTGTGCTTTATGTCACTTTCTCGGGATGGGGGTGGTGTGTTCCTAAAACATTATACTTTTGTTTACACAAATTGTTATTATGAAGTTTTTCTTTGATTATGGTGTCATATATAAATGAAAGTAACTGAGGCTATACAGTTAGGAGACCGGAAGACCTGTTTTTTGTTGGATGGTTTGAATTGGCTCTGAATTTTGGGGTGTAATTTTTTTCTAGACTTTAGATATTATGTGGATCAGTTGAAGTCATCAACTTATGTTTTAAGGTTCTTTATGAACTACCACTTAAAAATTTTACACTTAAGTTATTGCACTTAAAAGAGACCCATGTAGCAAGCCAGACATTGCATGCATTGTAATTCAGAGTTGTTTGCAATACTTTCTTCTTTTCTTTTATTAAATTTATTTTATTTTTTATTAATTACAGTTTTTTACTTTGTTTCCCACCTGTAGCTCCTGCTGTCTTCCCCTCTTAATCCTACCCTCCCTCCCTCTTCTCCACCTATGCCCTTCCCCCAGTCCACTGATAGGGGAGGTCCTCTTCCACTTCCTTCTGAACCTAGTCTATCAGGTCTCATGAGGAGTGGCTGCATTGCCTTCCTCTGTGGCCTGGTAAGGCTGCTTTCCCCTCAAGGAGAGGTGATCAAAGGGCAGGCCAATCAGTTCATGTCAGAGACAGTCCCAGTTCCCATTACTAGGGAACCCCTCGGACACTGAAATGCCATAGGCTACATCTGTGCAGGGGCTCCAGGTTATCTTCATGAGTGGTCCTTGGTTGAAGTATCAGTCTCAGAAAAAGACCCCTGTGCCCAGATTTCTTGGTACTCTTGTTCTCCTTGCGGAGCTCCTGTTTTCTCCAGGTCTTTCTATCTCCCCCGTCTTTCATAAGATTCCCTGCACTCTGCCCAAAGTTCGGCTGTGAGCCTCAGCATCTGCTTTCATACCTTGCTGGGTAGACTCTTTCAGTGGCCCTCCATGGTAGGCTCTTGTTCTGTTTTCTCCCTCTTCCAGTGTTCGACCCATTTGCTTTTCTGAATGAGGACTGATTATTCTATTCAGGATCCTCCTTTTTGCTAGCTTTTTACGTGTACACATTTTAGTTTGCTTATGCTATATTTTATGTCTAATATCTACTTATAAGTGAGTATGTACCATGTGTATCTCTCTGCTTCTGGCATATCACAATCAGGATGATCTTTTCTAGTTCTCATCATTTTCCTGCCAATTTTATGATTTCCTTGTTTTTAATTGTTGAGTAGCATTCCATTGTGTAAATGTACTACAATTTCTGTATCCATTCCTCCATTGAGGGACATCTGTGTTGTTTCCAGATTCCGGCTATTATGAATAAAGCTGCTTCAAACATGGTTGAACAAATATCCTTATTGTGTACTTGAGCATATTTTGGGTATATGCCTAGGAGTGGTATAGCTGGATCTTGAGGAAGCACTATTCCTAATTGTTTGAGAAAGTGCCAGATTGATTTCCAGGTTGTACAAGTTTACATTCCCACCAGCATTGGAGGAGGGTTCCCCTTTCTCCACATCCTCCCCAGCATGTGTTGTCACTTGAGATTTTGAACTTAGTCATTCTGATGGGTGAAAGGTGAAATCTCATTGTTGTTTTGATTTCCATTTCCCTTGTGTCTGGAGTATTCTTCAGGAAGATGAGTGAGGTCCACTGGTTTGAGAATGGATGTTGGTGTTTCAGCTGTAGTTAAGGGAGGAAGGTAGCAGGTGCATGTTCAAAAGTGCGGGAGAGCAAGAGCGGGTGTGAGGGTGGAAATGTGCCTTGAAGGAAAGGGTGCTAGAGCTGGAAGATGCCTTGAATGTGGGGCTTAAGCCCAGGAGGGGGAGTGGGTACTGGTATTGTTCATGGGTATATTGTGCATGTGCAGGTGTCCTGAGTACCTCAGTGGCCTACGGGCTTGTCCTCCTGGTATTCAGATCTGTCTGGACTCCAGGAATTGTTTGCCTGGACACAGCTGGTAGATCCAGGTAACAGGAGCTTCAATACTGAGAACACTGTCCCAAGAATCCCTATGTTGCCCACAGTGGGTATTTTGTTGGGAGGTATCCTATGTCTGGCTGATAGTGTACATGCAACCTGGCTCTGGGGTTCTGCATGCACTCACTTGAAAGCACACTCACTTGCTAGCATGCCTAATTAGAAAGCACAGGGGTTCCCCCTGTTCTCTATTGAGAGTGCAGGAGATATGTAAGCTTAGTGGTTTCCACTGTTTGTCTGCTGGGCAGGGAGACCCTTACTTCATTAGCCACTTCTGTTGTCTCAGTCAGGGAGCATGGGTGTGGCAGACCTGGGAAGCTGGTACAGCTGCCCGCTGGGAGGCCATGGTTAACCTGTACAGTAGCCTGCAGACCTGGGAGACTCCTACAGCAACCCTCTGGGAGGCCCTTACAGCCATCCACCATTGCAGCAGAACTGGGGGACTTGTACAGTTACCTGCTTGGAGGTCCTGGGAAGCCTGTATAGCAGCCAGCAGACCTGGGAGGCCCGTATATCAGTCAGCTGCTGTGGAACTGGGAGGTCTGCCTCTGATGTTTCAGTTAGTGAGTAGGGGAGGTCAGTGTTTGGAGCAGTAGGTATTCCTCAGCTGAGGAGAGAGGGATGCCCATGCTTGGGTTAAGGGGAAGTGCAGAGGTGATGAATATTTACTGCTTGTGGTCTCTGTAGAAGTCTGCATGTGACCTGGATCCAAACGGTCTATGCTCATGGGTTGTCCCTCCTGCCCGGGAAGCCTCAACGTGGATGTTCTGGCTTCAGTTGCCCCTCTACTCACCTATTTTAGAGTTTTGGATCCTGTGCCTCTCAGATACGGTGTGTGCTGTTTGCCACCATCATGGATCTCCCCCGTAATTACTTTTGTTCATTTAGTATGTATCAATTATTTGGAGAATAGAATATGAAACATCTCTAAAGTTATAGGGAAATGATGTGTTTAGCATAGAGAATGTGTTTAATGCTGTTAAGATTATCTTCTTTTACCTCCTTTCCTCCCTCTCCTCGGGAGGCGTTGAATATGTTTTCAGAACATGTTACTTTCCTCCTTAAAAGTGTCAAATAGCTCCCAATTTCCTTTGTTATCTCATCTCTTCTTCCTTAAAATATTACAGTGATTTATATGTGTACATGTACTTGTCAGGGCACATGTGTATAAGTCAGAGGACATCTTGCACAAGTCAGTTATCTCCTTCTACCATAAGGATTTAAATCAGGTTGTCAGGCTTGAGGCCAGTAACTTTACCTACTAAGCCATCACTCTGATCTTATGATTCCTGTAAAAATAGTCATCTTTAGCTGTCTTCATGCCTTTATCTATACACTTGACAGTACCTAAAGACACTTTTCTTGAGTCCTTATAAATCAAATATACACTAGCTTTAAACTAGAACACTTTTCTCTTCTTTTGCTGGCCCCGCAAGTACCTAAGTATTTTTATTAACTTTCATGTTGCTGGAGAAGCTGTCCTAGGTAACTCCTTCTATCCCATAGCAACACGTATTTCACATTTTAGAATACAACTCTTATTTGTCTTCTTTTGCCAATCAATACAGCTTTTGCTTTCAAGAAACTGGGTCTAAAGGGGAGGAAGACATGACAAAAGATAGATGTATGGAACAGAGAGAGGGCCCAAAGAGGCTATATTGTCAGTATTGCAAAGTGAGAGACTAACAAGTGTGCATGGGTTCCAGTGTGTTTTGAAAGCCGATGTTATATGTGCCATGTATAGAACCAGAGTATAACTTGTTTCATAGCCATTTTCTGATATCTCATCTGCTTCTCCCAATTGAATTGACAAGTTATGCTTCAAAGAAAATACGCTATAGAAATCCCTTCTACAGGAAAGGAAGAAGGTTTAATTTAGAGGTAGGCAGGATACATTATGGAAATCTTTTTGTACTTATTTTATTTTATTTTGCAGTGGAAGAGATGAACAAACAATGTATAAAATCACCCCAGTTAAAAGACAGCTACAAAAGGGCTTATGTGTCATGGACTCATTAATCTTCAATAGGTGGGAGGAATTTTTTTGCTAGTAAAATTGGCAGGTACAGAGGAGGACTTTGCAGCCAGCCCTGAAGATACCTGATAAAACAGGGTCAGATGAAAGGGGAGGAGGTCCTCCCCTATCAGTGGACTTGGAAAGGGGCAGGGAGGAGACCAGGGAGGGAGTGTGGGGTTGGTGAGGGAATGAGGGAGTGGGATACAGCTGGGACACAGAGTTAACAAAATGTAACTAAAAAGAAAAAAATAAAAAAAAATAAAAAGAAAGAAATTTCATAGAGCTGCCTACGGTAGTCGAGTTCACAAATAATAATAATAATAATAATAATAATAATAATAATAATAATAATAGTGTGGTTACTTAGAGATTTTAATGTTAAAAAATGAGTTCTGGAGAGAAAGTGAACTTAGAACCGTGGAATATATAAGGAAGTAAGTTTGCATGGTCTTTTCCCTTTTGTTTCTCTAGTATGTTTTTTAAACATTGCTGTTGCATTTCATTTTTCATATTTATAAATTTTACTTTAAAAAGCAAGCCTGAAAGCTGTCCATTATTAGGAAAGAATTACACTTCATCTCCATATAACCAAGATCCAGGTTATATGGATCTTGGCTTTGTGAATATTCTGACCATATTCACTTCACAGATTTTGCATGAAGTCTTTCTTAATTTTGATTCCCT